AGTCACGGCCCCGCGGGCCCGGCCCCGGCAGACACAGGGACGCGGCCCCGCGGTTACCTTGATCTTCTTGAAGTCCACGGGCTTGCGGATGAGCTCGTAGTACTCGGGCAGCTCCTTCCGCGAGGGCAGCTGGATGAACACCTCGCTGAGCTGCCGTCCACTGCTGCTGCAAGGCAGGGCAGGCGGAAGTCACCCCGGGGGCCCCGCCTCCCGTCCTTGCTGGGCTCTGCGGTGGGTTCGGGAGGTGTTTCTCGCACCTGGTGTGACTGATGCACGTCCCCGTCCCCTCACCCAAGGTCCCCCCAGGAGCCACCCTGCCTGGCTCGGTTCAGACGGCCTCTCGAGACAGCGACCTTCAGATGACATGGCAGGAACCGGAGGCCTCAGGAGGCGGCCGCTGCCCCCGGGGCTCCTGCTGGCCCGGTGCCGGAGGCCTCGCTCCTCCCTCCTCTCCCTCTGGCTGCCGCGTGACCCAGCTTTCCTGTGTCCACAGAGGACCGAGCATGGTTTCCCCTGGCCTGTGTGGCCCTTGGCAGGCGTGGAGTCCTGCAAGTGCTACCCTGGTGGCTGCACCAGCACCACTTTCCACGTTTCCTTCTCTCTGCTTTTTTGAGACAGGCCCTCACCCTGTAGTTCAGCCTGGCTTTGAACTCTTGGTGATCCTCCCGCCTCAGCCTCCCAAGTTCTGGGATTACAAGCGTGTGCCGCCCCACCTAGAACCATTATTTCTTCAAGGGAGCTCCCAGGAACAAAGCCACCCAAGGTCACCTGCTGCCTGGGTGTCCTGAGCAGTCCTGGAGGTAAGAGTGACATAGTGGCTTTCTATGGTGACCTTGTCCCTGGAGACCCTGGACTCTACGATGTCGCTGAGGGCCACATGTGCCTGCCGGCCACCCGGACTCACTGGTGTTTATGTACATCATGAACCCCTGAACCCGGGAGGCCCGTGACGTGGCCCAGCCTCGGCTTTCACTCCCCAGAGACGGGCGGAGTGGACGAGGGACGCCTGGCACATGCTCTGTCCCTCCACGCTGGGCTTCAGCCCCAGCTGGTGCCAGGCGAGGGGGGCGTGAGCGAACAGGGACGCCCTGTCCCCAGCCCTGAGCGGAGCGCGAGCCGGCCGCTCAGCCACTGACACAGCAGTCAAGGCCACCACTGCTGTCCACGCTCCCAGCCCGACTGTGACTCCTGGGATGGGATCCCCTCCATCTCCACCACTGCTCTGTCACAGAAAGGGACACGACCCCAGCAGAGGCTCGGGAGGAACTGGACACGCTTCCAGACCAGCTTGCTGCAGACAGCCTCGGTTTCCCTCTGTGTCCTGCCTCTGAGAGGACAGCACTGGAGGGAGAGGAAGGGGGTGGGTGGATCCTTGCAGCAAACCTGGAACAACAACTTGGGGACCTCAAGTCAAAGCTCGCTTTCTGTCTGGGCTCCCAATGCTATGCTGAGAAGCTCTAGGTCGCTTCAAGTTGATCAGTCTTTGAAAGAGAAATGCAACATGAGAAGGAACAGACCGCCAGGCCCCTGAGCAGGACAGACTGCGCGAGAGTCATCCATGTTTCCGTCTCAGCAGATGGAAGAGGCAGAGAGTAGACAGGAGCTGGCTCTGGACACTTGGGACAGTGGAGGCTCAGCCCTGCTTGTCTATTGTTCTACATCAAGGGTCACAGATGTTTCCCGTGTCAGTGGTACCTGGCTTCTCTGCTGCAGGAGCCCAGCTGTGCCACTGCTGGAAGACGGCAGCCACAGGCACTGCATAAAGAAATGGCCCTCGCCCGGTGTGGTAG